GGACTCGGAATATATATACTTTTTAGGGTCGGAAAATTATATTGTAGAAATTACAAACTTATGTATGTATGTATGTATGTATGTATGTATGTATGTATGTATGTATGTATATGTATGTATGTATGTATGTATGTATGTATGTATGTCTGTATGTATGTATGTATGTATGTATGTATGTATGCTATGTATGTATGTATGTATGTATGTATGTATGTATGTATGTATGTATGTATGTATGTATGTATGTCTGTATGTATGTATGTATGTATGTATGTATGTATTATGTATGTATTGTATGTATGTATGTATGTATGTATGTATGTATGTATGTATGTATGTATGTATGTATGTATGTATGTATGTATGTATGTATGTATGTATGTATGTATGTATGTATGTATGTATGTATGTATGTATGTATGTATGTATGTATGTATGTATGTATGTATGTATGTATGTATGTATGTATGTATGTATGTATGTATGTATGTATGTATGTATGTATGTATGTATGTATGATATGTATGTATGTATGTATGTATGTATGTATGTATGTATGTATGTATGTATGTATGTATGTATGTATGTATGTATGTATGTATGTATGTATGATGTATGTATGTATGTATGTATGTATGTATGTATGTATGTATGTATGTATGTATGTATGTATGTATGTATGTATGTATGTATGTATGTATGTATGTATGTATGTATGTATGTATGTATGTATGTATGTATGTATGTATGTATGTATGTATGTATGTATGTATGTATGTATGTATGTATGTATGTATGTATGTATGTATGTATGTATGTATGTATGTATGTATGTATGTATGTATGTATGTATGTATGTATGTATGTATGTATGTATGTATGTATGTATGTATGTATGTATGTATGTATGTATGTATGTATGTATGTATGTATGTATGTATGTATGTATGTATGTATGTATGTATGTATGTATGTATGTATGTATGTATGTATGTATGTATGTATGTATGTATGTATGTATGTATGTATGTATGTATGTATGTATGTATGTATGTATGTATGTATGTATGTATGTATGTATGTATTTATGTATGTATGTATGTATGTATGTATAGTATGTAAGTATGTATGTTTGTATGTATGTATGTAGGTTCGTTTGTATGCATATGAGAATTAGAGACGATGTGCAAGAAGGATTTGTGGAAAAACGCAATTTTTTGGCAGTAGTTTAGTAAAAATGCTATTATAGATATTTGCTTTATATACATAGATCAAGCGAGTTGGGAATGTTATTTCCGAGTGCATGGAATGTTATTGCTAATAATCTTTCTGAAATCAAGAATTTTTGAATATTTTAAATTCTTTAATGTTATTTATTTATGAATTTTGATGAATCTTCTTAAAATTCATTTGTAGTTCATACAAATTATACCTAAAAACAAACTCTGAGGATATACCCATTAATTCATCAAGAAAATAAATTTTGCAAAATTTCTATCTGAAAGTTTTTAACGTTTAAAAAGATTGATTTTGAGTACATTAAAGCGTTATTTTTTATATAATTTTTTTCTTAGGTTTCTAGATATGTACAATGTACATATATTTTTGTGATAGTTTTTAAAAATTTATTTATAAATACATAACATTATGGTTGTTTTTAATGAAGAATATCAAATATACAAAATTTTGATTTTGACTCGATTTCAGGAAAATTATCAGCGATAACTTTCTATTATGGATTCGAAAATAATATCTCAATTTACAATATCAAAATTATGAAAATATGTTAATGATATTATTTTGACTAAGTTATTGTCAAGAATTTGCGTTTTTTCCCGAAAGATGCTGTTTAAATAATGTCCCTTTTTTGCCCACAGACAAAAACGAGTAAGCGTTATCCAATTTGAAAATATTAGTATACTAGCTATACCCAGTGTGCTTCGCTACCTTCATCGTAATGGAATAAAATAAATATCATTATTGTAAATGTATATATATCTGCAATATCAAAAATTCCCCTTTTAGAGAACTCTTTAAGTTTGATTTTATGATTCTAGTCTCAATTTTACAGAAAATTAAAAAAAAAACCAGTTGAAGAACGAAAAAGTACCAGACAGTGCCTTTTTATATATTTTCGCATGAAAATATGTTAATGATATTATTTTGACTAAGTTATTGTCAAGAATTTGCGTTTTTTCCCGAAAGATGCTGTTTAAATAATGTCCCTTTTTGCCCACAGACAAAAACGAGTAAGCGTTATCCAATTTGAAAATATTAGTGTACTAGCTATACCCAGTGTGCTTCGCTACCCTCATCGTAATGGAATAAAATAAATATCATTATTGTAAATGTATATATATCTGCAATATCAAAAATTCCCCTTTTAGAGAACTCTTTAAGTTTGATTTTATGATTCTAGTCTCAATTTTACAGAAAATTAAAAAAAAAAACAGTTGAAGAACGAAAAAGTACCAGACAGTGCCTTTTTATATATTTTCGCATAAAGATTTTTATACAATCAGAAAGCTACATGTCCAATTTTATGTTTTTAGGTTCAATATCATAGAAAATTCGAAAAGTATTATTAAAATAACAAAAAAGTACCAGAGTATCCTTTTTCAATTTTCGTTCAATTGGGATACTGCGTGTTTAATTTTATGTTTTTATATTGAATATTTTAGAAAGCTCTAAAAGTACCAGTACCAGTTAAGTACGAAAAAGTACCAAAAATTTCATGTTCCTAAGTTCAATATTATAGAAAATTCAAAAAGTACCAGAAAATATTCCAGTTTAAATTTTCATTCACACAAGTCCCTGATTGCTTTTATAGATTCTAATTAACTCCGGGCTCCACATGCTTAATTTCATGTTTCTAGGATCAATATTATAAAAAACACAAAAAGTACCTTTTGAAGAACGAAAAAGTACCAAAAAGTGCCCTTTTATAGGTTCTCACTTAATCCAGGCTCTAAACGCTTAATTTCATGTTTCTAGGTTCAATATTATAGAAAATTCAAAATGTACCTTTTAAAGAACGAAGAAGTACCAAAAAGTCCCCTTTTATAGGTCCTCACTTAATCCGGGCTCTACATGCTTAATTTCACGTTTCTAGGTTCAATATTATACAAAAATCCAAAAAGTACCTTTTGAAGAACGAAAAAGTTCCAAAAAGTCCCCTTTCATATGTTCTCACTTAATCCAGGCTCTACATACTTAATTTCATGTTTCTAGGTTCAATATTATAAAAAATTCAAAAAGTACCTTTTGATGAACGAAAAGTCCCCTTTTATAGATTCCCATTTACTCCGGGCTCTACATGCTTAATTTCATGTTTCTAGGTTAAATTTTATAGAAAACTCTAAAAGTACCAGTCGAAGGACGAAAAAGTACCAAAAAGTCCCCTTTTATAGATTCTCATTTACTCCGGGCTCTACATGCTTAATTTCATGTTTCTATGTTAAATTTTATAGAAAACTCAAAAAGTACCAGTCGAAAGACGAAAAAGTACCAAAAAGTCCCCTTTTATAGATTCTCATTTACTAAGGACTCTACATGCTTAATTTCATGTTTCTAGGTTAAATTTTATAAAAACTCAAAAAGTACCAGTCGAAGGACGAAAAAGTACCAAAAAGTCCCCTATTATAGATTCTCATTTACTCTGGGCTCTACATGCTTAATTTCATGTTTCTAGGTTAAATTTTATAGAAAACTCAAAAAGTACCAGTCGAAGGACGAAAAAGTACCAAAAAGTCCCCTTTTATAAATTCTCATTTACTCCGGGCTCTACATGCTTAATTTCATGTTTCTAGGTTAAATTTTATAGAAAACTCAAAAAGTACCAGTTGGAGAATGAAAAGTACCAAAAAATATCACTTGGTACCGGGGTTCCAAATAACACCCCATTAGGATATTTAGTGTTTCTAAATTTAAAAATTTTATCTAAATTGGATCATTGTGGTTGAATAAAATCAAATTTCCCGTTTTTACCCCTTTTGGTACTTTTTTCCTCCCCATTAACGAAATAAAAATTCTATTCCAAAAAGTTGCAACATCGTAGTAGGAGCCCGTTATTATGTATTCATATGTATAGTTAATAAACCAAAAACAATGTTTTTTGAAAAAAGTACCAAAAATAGGTACAATTTTATCCCCTTAAACGTCCGAATATCCAAAAAGTACTAAATTCATATTTTTATTTTTTCGTTAAGTTATGAAGGAGTCAAAAATATTTTTTGAATGTGCACTGGTTTAAAAGATACATGGGGTGCGAAAAAAGTACCAAAATACAGTTTTTACCCGTTTATTCCCTAAAGGGGCCGAATTTTAAAAAAGTACCAGACACCTGTCCGTTTATTTTTTAAATGAACGGCGATAAGCTTTAAACTGTTTTTGTATCTTTTATAGTTTAGGAGATATAAGGTTACCGAATTTACCCTTTTTTACCCCCTAAACATTTGAATGTCCAAAAATCCCGTCTTAGTGGATCTATTTGGCGGGAGACCAACCTCCTGTCCAAATTTCAGCTCTTTAGCTTCAACCGTTTAGGCTGTGCGATAATGAATCAGTCAGTGAATCAGTCAGTCAGTAACGTTAGAATTTTATTTATATAGATTAGTGAACGAAAAATAATAATTATATTTTGTTGTAACACTTTTATGTGTCGTCAGGTACAAAAAATCTCCTTGGAAAATTTTACTAACTCAAACAAATATTAACGCTTAGTTTGTATACATTGCAATTTTGCTGTAAAAAGGATGAACGGATTTATTTGATGACTCATACAAAAAAGTCCTCGTTTTTTCATTTAAAAACATTTTTCTTACAACGAAAGTAATTTAATGTTATTTTATATACTTCTATTTGATGTTAAAATACTACATAATTGCACTATTTGAAGTTGATCTCAGCGAAAAAGGAATTTTCGAATATATTTATTGTTTCCTGGGTTGTGTTTATGAAATCTAAGATAAATCCATTAAAATCACTATTTTTTATTTCAGCAATGGCCGTTGTGAAAGATAGAATTTCCGAGCAGCAATACTATGATGCCAAAGGTGGGATTAATATTCCTTTATGTACTGTTTTTTTCCATATACAAACAATGTAAACAATCAGATCTAGTATATGACTAGCTGCCCATAATTGTTAGGACTAATTTTATCCTAATCGTACACAACTTATTTTGTAAAGTTAATTTTTATTTTTTGTCAACAATTTGTTAATGGCTAGAAAAGTTCTTAAAGCATAACAATTATACTATACTGTTATGTTTGTATCGTTATGTTAAAAAATCGGCACAACTGCTGCTAATCGAGCTTCATTTGATTCTTGACCCATATAAAGGTCCCCTCATAAATTGCTTTAACGAACTTAGTTCCCCTTTAACACTAAAATTACAAAGAAATTTAGCATAACCAACTTTTATATAAACTTTTATTCCTTCAACAAATTTTATTAGGATCGTACCATAATCGTATTTATAACTTTCGTATTTATCAATACGATTATCGTATACAATTGTATTTATAACTTTGTCATTTCGAGTGTGACACTAAGAAATATTTATCTGAGACCCAACAAAGTATATACATACATATATTCTAGTCCTTATGAAATTCTGAGTCGATTTAGCTATGTCCATCCGTCTATCTGTGTAAAATACGCTCACGTAAAAGTGAAATTAAATAAATTAAATAAACTATTGCCCTAGTCAGTTTGGTGTTAAAAATGAGCAAAATCAGCTTAAGTCAGGAAAAGCTATGAATTCTCATCAGAGTGCGAAAATAAACTAAACGAAACGTTTGCAATTTTTATACCCTCCACCATCAGTGGTGATAGAGGGTATATATAAGGTTGTCATTCCGTGCGTAACACCAAGAAATAGTCATCTGAGACCCAACAAAGTATATATATTCCGGGTCCTTAAAACTAAGCAAAGGAAGTTAACCAAATTCACAAAAAATATTTACTGTTGTCCTAAGCAGTTTGGTATTGAAAATGAGCAAAATCGGTTCACATCGAGAAAAGTTATGAATCAAAATTTAAAACAACTCCGAAAAAATACGCTTTTTTACACATTCTGATGTAATTATCACGAAAACTATGCAATATAATTCCATGAAAATCATCATACGTTCGTTTCTACACGAAGGCTTGATCCCTGTTGAAAATTGTCGGAATCAGTCCACAACTTCATATACCTCCCATACAAATGTTCATATTCCCGGAAAATGAGTTTATTGTTAATAACTTTCGTTAGAATGTCTATATCTTTACAAAATTTTGCACGTTTAAATTTTATGTCAAAAGAATTGGTCTTAGCTTCCATACAAGGTGTTCTCCCGAAAAACACTTTTCGGATCGGTCCGTATTTGGTCGTAGCTCCCATACAAGGTCCCCTTCAGAAAAACATTTAAATGCATATAACTCATTACCAAATAATGATATCCATACAAAATTTGGCAGAAATATTACTTTTGTAATTTAAAATTTGTATTTTAAAATTTGTTTAGATCGGTTCATATTAAAAATCACTTTAACCGTATTTAACTACACTTTGTGTACAACAATATATTTGTATTTCCTTAAACCTTACACACACATACAAATCATATTTTAGGGCGCTATAGAAATATAAAAGAAAATGGTGTTTGTAATGTTCAATAAATCTTGTAATTAAGCTATTTAAATCTTGGGGTTATTAATATAAAAGTAGCTGGTGGAGGGTATTTAAGATTCGGCTCAGCCGAATATAGCAGTCTTGTTTCGTTTTGATCTTTGCGGTGAGTAAAACAGGAACAAAACCAAGAGAACAAAAACGATTTTCTCATTCGGATTTGTATTGTTGTTGCTTTTTAGCACATCATGTTCATTAACTCAAATTCACAGTGTTGCCAAAAGCCAATCTAGCTCGAAAAAAGGCAAATTTTTGACATCTAAAATTCACCTAATTTGTTTTTTATTTGTTATAGAAACATTCAGTGCTCATAACTATATGTCAGATTTTTATACCCTCCACCACCATCAGTGGTGATAGAGGGTATATATAAGTTTGTCATTACGTTTGTAACACCGAGAAATATTCATTTGAGACCCAACAAAGTATATATATTTTTGATCCTAATGAAATTCTGAGTCGATTTAGCTATGTCCGTCTGTCTGTCTGTGTAAAACACGCTCACGTTAAAACGAAGCAATGACCAATTATGGACCGATTGGAAAAATATTCCACAGTAATATTTCTGTATATGTGAGCAATACTTGTACCCAATTTTACATGGATATCTTAATTTAGTAATGAGTTATCCGCGTTTAAGTGATTTTCGGGAAGGGTCCTTGTATGGGAGCTATGACCAATTATGGACCGAACGGAAAAAAATTTCATAGTAATATTTCTGTACGTGAGAGGAATACTTGTACCAAATTGTATATGGATGTCTTAATTTAGTAATGAGTTATGTGCGTTTAAGTGATTTTCGGGAGGGGACCTTGTATGGGAGCTATGACCAATTATGGACCGATCTAAAAAAACATTCACAGTAATATTTCTGTGCATATGAGCAATACTTATTCCAAATTTTATATGGATATCTTAATTTTGTAATGAGTTATGCACGTTTAAGTGAGTTTCGGGAGGGGACCTTGTATGGGAGCTATGTCCAATTATGGACCCATCCAGATTTCTTCAATGAATTCTATTGACATAAGATTTTAAGTTGTAAAATTTTGTAAAGATATCAGCATTATGACGGAAGTTATTAACAAAAAACTCATTTAGCAATTTTCAGCAGGAATCAAGATCTTGTGTAGAAACGAATTTAAGATGACTTTCACGGAATTATCTTGCATAATTTACGAGAAAATTACATCCGAATGTATAAAAAATGCTTATTTTTTTCGGAGTTGTTTTAAATTTTGATTCATAACTCTATCCGATGTGAACCGATTTTCAATACCAAATAATGAATATTTTTGCTGAATTTCGTTAATTTCCATTGCTTCGTTTTAACGCGACGGACGGACATAGCTAAATCGACTCAGAATTTCATAAGGACCCAGAATATATCTACTTTGTTCGGTCTCAGATGAATATTTCTTGGTGTTACAAACGGAATGACAAACTTATATATACCCTCTATCACCATTGATGGTGGTGGAGGGTATAAAAAGGCAGAAAAATAAAATAACTATTTTATTGTTATAAGATAAATTTTGATATCTATTTCAAAAAAAGTCATTACAGATAGAAAAATATTCCCTTTACTTTTTGAAGAAACCCGGGCAACGCCGGGTACACGCAGCTAGTAATAAATATATATGAAACTTTTTTTACTCTTTCACTACATAATTAATAAACTTATTTACATAAAATTTGGCGTTTAATAAGTCTAACCTCAGAAGTTAACTAGTTAGAGTGCTATATTCGGCTATGCCGAATCTAAAATACCCTCTACCAGCAAGCTACTTTTTATTAAAACCCATTTAACATCTAATTTTTAGATAACTTAACTTCATATAGGAGCTACGACCAATTACGGGCCTCTCCAGAATAATTTCGTAGAGTGATTCATATGTATGTACACAAAACATATTTGCGTCGAATTTTATCAAGATAGCTTTATTTAACAATGAAATATGTGAGTTTTAATGATTTTCGGAAGAGAGCCTTATATGGGAGCTATGACCAATAATGGACCGATCCGAAAAGAAATTTGGTAGAATGATTTGTATGTACACAAAACATATTCAGTTCGAATTTTATCACAAAAGCTTTATTTGTCAATGAAATATGTGTGTTTAGGTGATTTTTAGAAGTGGACCTTACATGGGAGCTTTGATTTCTATTCATTTTATATTCGTATGTACAAAATTTTGTGTTGATACCGATATATTTGAGGGAGTTATTAACGATAAACTTATATCCGGGAATATACACCTTTGTATGTGGGCTATGGGAAATATTGGACCAATTGTTATGAGTTTGAACATACTTGATCCCTGGCACAAACAAATAATGTGTGACAAAATTGATCGAAATACCTTTGGTAGTTTCTGAGAAAACTACTTAATAATTTTGAAAAAAACTTTATTTTTTTCGAGGTAGTCTGAAATTTTTACTCATAAATTTTTATTTCGTGAACCGATTTTACTGATTTTCAATACCAAACTGTACCGGATAATAAAGAATGTTTTGGGTGAATTTCGAGAATTTCTATGGCTTCGTTTTAACGTGTTTTACACAGATAGACAGACGGACGGATAGTCGGACATAGCTAAATCAAGAATATGTATTCTTTGTTGGGTCTCAGATGAACATTTCTTGGTGTTACAGACGGAATGACAAAGTTATATATACCATCTATCACCACTGATGGTGGTGGAGGGTATAAAAAAAAATTCAATATGATATTGATTGGATGATACGCACATTTTTATGTTCACTTTTTGAAAAACTGCTATAACACCGAATTTCTAGGCTAAATATAAGAAAACATGAACCGATTTTCAAGAAATTTGGCAACATACAGTGTTTGAGGAAGAGAATGTTTAATACACCAAGCACTAATTTCGGGCCTGTTGTGATCTTAATGAAATGCAATGACCTTTTTCCGTCCACTTTTTGTTACATTTATAATGCTTAAGAACATGATATATACTATATGATAATTATTATTTAGTTAAATTTTTAATCAAAAATTTATTTTTATATGAAAACTCTAAAATGTTTGTAGATCCTTAACTAACTTTACGATTAGGTAAAATAAAAATCTGTATTCAATTGAATTTATTATCAAAAATCTATTTTAATCTTAAGCGTTTTCCACCGTAAAACTGTTTTTTTTTAACCTGTAATCTGCTGTATATTCTCAGAAAATAACTATTTTAAAACAGAATCTTTATTAGATCTTAAATGAATGTCTACGATGCCACATTTGTATGCAGAATAAAAACTACTTATAATATATTCGGCTGTGGTTCCTTCCTTTAACACCTAAATCTATCTAGAAAATCATTCATATCTCCGCTTAAAATTTCTATTTATATAACTCTTTAA